TGTTGAACCTGCACATCTAACAAACCAGATGAGATAATAACAGGTAATGTGGAGTCGGGACCCAGAAATTCATACCTGAGGTGAGCTGGCAATGGCTTTAGTTCCAGCTTAGGTGGTTCTTCGATGGATGGCTTTGCTGGAGGGGTCTCTCTCTTTTCTAAGTGTAAGGGCTCAAACTCTAGATTTCTATCCCAGAACCCTCTACCTTCAAATGCCAACACCCATTCCGCCAAATCCTCACCATTCACCTCATCTAAATTCGTCAAGCATGCAGCAAGGGGATCCTCAACCGTCAACACCTCATCATCAGACTCTACAATTACATCCACGACATCAATAAGAGAATAATTGGCGAACTCACTTGGTCGCCTCATAGATTTCTGCACATTGAATATAATTTCTTCATCATTGAGCCTCATCTTGAGCTCCCCAGTCTCACAATCAATCAGACCTCTCCCCGTGGCCAAGAATGGTCGTCCTAAGATTATAGGAATTTCTTCATCCACTTTGCAATCCAAGATTACAAAATCTGCAGGGAACACGAATTTCTCCACCTGAATAAGCACATCATCAAGGATCCCAAATGGACGCTTCACAGTCCTGTCGGCTAGCTGCAACAACATAGAGGTGGGTCTAGCTCTCCCAATGCCCAACCTCTTATAAATAACCAGAGGCATAAGATTAATGCTGGCCCCTAAATCACAGAGTGCCTTAGCAAAGGCGAAGTTCCCAATAGTGCATGGAATTGTAAAGCTACCTGGATCAGATAGCTTTTCAGCAACATGTCTAGACACCACTGCACTACAGGTCTGAGTAAGTGTCACTGTGGACAAGTCTGGGAAGTCAAACTTCCGAGACATCAAGTCCTTCATCATTTTAGCGTATCCAGGCATCTCCTTTAAAGCTTCAATCAATGGAATGTTTACCTGGATTTGTTTGAGCATCTCCAAGAACTTTTTATACTGCTCCTCCTTTTGATGCTTGGCCAACCTCTATGGTAATGGTGCAGGAGGTCTTTTCTTCCCAATCACTTGGGATTTCTCTTTCTCAGCTACTATTTCAACTACTGGCTCAGCTACTTTCTCAGTCTCCTGCTGCATATTCTTTTCTTCAGGTGCGGGCTGGACTGTCACCTCTGTCAATCCCGTAGACTCATCCAGCTCAATGGGCACTGGAATGAGTGTCTCAGCCTGTATGTTTTCTCGAGCTCTCTCTTGCTCAACATCTAGATCCCTGCCATTACGGAGACTCACCGCCATCAGCTGCTTTGGGCCCTGATCTTTTGGATTGATTTGGGTATCTGCCGGTAATGTCCCTTGAGGACGATTGTTCAGTGACATTGAGATCTGGCCCACTTGTACCTCGATATTTTTGATAGCCGCATCATGTGCATCCACCCTTTCATTTATCTTAGCATTGGACCCAATAACCTGCTGCATCATTGCTTCCAGTCTTGCAAACCCGTCTTCCTGCCTTCCACCATGCTGCTGCTGATTGTTGTACCCCTGTGGTCTAGGATACAGTGCCATGTTGTTGGGGGGTCTCATGCCTCCCATGTTTCCGGCGTTATACTGTGGCTGAGGTGGCCTGTACTGCTGCTGAGTATGCTGACCCCAGTTCTGATTTCCTTGTCTCTGACCCCCATAGTTAGCCACATAGTTCATATCTTCAGGATGCTGATGATGATGATCATGCTCTGCATTCCAAGGATTACCGATTGGATGGCTAATGCAAGATGTGCACAAGCCCCCATTGGTAGTATCTACTATATGTACCTGCTGCTTCTGCCCTGATTCCTCCACCTTTTTGGTGAGGATGCTCATTTGTGTCAAGAGAGTGACCATATTTTCAGCCATTGTATTAGAAGGATCAAGAGGCACTGAGTGCACCACTGGAGTGATAGGTGCATTCCTAGTTGTCCATCCCGAATTCTGCGCCATTTTGTCAAGCAAATTCTGACCTTCTCTCCAAGTCTTGCTCAAGAATGCCCCACCAGCAGAGGCATCTACAATATTCTTCATGCTGTCAGACAGTCCCATGTAAAATCGTTGTCCCAACATCTGTTCTGGAACACCATGGTGGGGACACATAACCAACATTCCTTTAAACCTGCCCCATGTCTCATGTAGTGTCTCCATTGGTTTCTGTTTGAAACTTACGATCTCATCAATTTGTTGAGCAGTTTTGTTGGGCGGGTGGAACTTGTTGTGAAATTGCTTGACTAACTCATCCCAAGTTTCTATAGAGTTTATGGGGAGCGAGTTTAGCCAAACCTAAGCAGCTCCTGTCACCGAGAATGGAAACAATAATAGCCTGATTGCTTCCGGAGTCACGTTGGGTTACCTTTGAGTTTTGCATATAGACAGGAAGTTCTTCAAGTGCTGCTGAGGATCTTCTGTTTGTGTCCCAGAAAAGAGTCCCTTATTCTGCAACAAGTGTAGCATGTTATTTGTGATCTGGAACGATTCAGCTTGTATTGCGGGCACAACAATGGCAGTGGCCAGATTGTCAGCTGTGGGTTGTGCCCAGTCATATAGTGCACCCTCATGCACAGGGGGTGTCACTTCTCTGGCATTTAAGCCAACTTGCTCATTCCTGACGTTTCCGTTGGGATCATTTACGTCTCCCATGTCAATTTCGAATTTGTGTGTTTGTTGGGATTGTTGAAGTCTTTTGTTGGCACGATTCAATGTCCTTGAATGTTTTCTCGGGGTCTGAGAGTCCTTCAAGTAGTTCTCCAATCCTCGTAAAATTTCTAAGCATACACCTGTGCAACCAGATCAGCAACCGTCAAAATTTCAATGGTAAATTGGGTAGAGAGAAAACTGACCACACCAAGAATTTTTGTATTTCTATCAATGGTAATTGATAATTCCGTTAACTCCCCGGCAACGGCGCCAAAATTTGATCACGCCCAACTATGCCTTATAAAAAGGACAATGCGGACGTTGCAAATATAACCCGAGTATTACGCCCAGGGTCGAATCCACAGAGAGTTAACCTATCAATCACTATCTTTAGACCTAATAAACTCTTCAGAACCAGCTTCCCAGATGTTTGAATCACAGTTGAAGGTCGCTCTACTAACTACGATTGCAAGTAAATTAAACAGCTGTAAATTAAAATGCTAAGGTTGTAAACAATGATGAGAAGAAGCTAAGGCAATGACTTCCCCTACTGAAAGAATCCCTTCTGTTTATGCTCATACAAATTTACCAACACATCTCTATCAATCATGAACGCTCATCTTACCGTAAATCTCTCCCGAGGAATCACAGTAATATACTAATTGCATTCTCCCGAGATACACTAGCTTACTTTACTTTGCACAATTCACTTTAGATTACACCCAAGGCTTCGTTATCCCTAATCCCGCCTTTAAACCCACAATTATAGATTCCTCTTATACTTTGGGAGTGGTGTTGTTCAACACTAACCTAAATATGCACTCTTTTCCAAGTTATGCACATTAAATAGGCACAACTAATTGAGGATCCTGTCAATTAACTACAACAAGCACAAAGTTGAACAAATAGAGATTGAAACTAGCAATTTGTATTCACATAAACAAGATGTTCATCCCCCAATAGGTTCCATCAAAGCCTTAGACAGAGGATTTAGCTACTCATGGCTATGGGAAAACAAACTAAGATAGAATTCATCATAACTAGCAATAAAAATCAAAGAAAAGAAGAAAGATGTTTTGGGTGATCTCTCACAATTGTTTTCCTTGCCAAGATACTCTAAAATTCAATACATGCCTCTCTTGGGCGAAGTCTTGTATTTAAAATAGGGTTTAGGTCTAAAAATCCCGTGTTTTACACTTTAGTCCCTGAAGTTTTCTGCTTCCGCCGCGGTTGTGCCATGCCTTCTCTGAATTTCAATTTATCCGCAGCTGTCTTCCACCGCGGTTCTACCGCGGTCGCGGTGGAACCGCGGTCAACCCAGTTCTCTGAATCTTCAGGCCTGTTTTGCATGGTTTACTTGGGGAATTTCACAATTGGCCTCTTTTTCTTCATTTTTGACTCCAAAAGTACTCCCTAGCCTTCCCTGGTCATATATCACCTACAAATCATGAAAAACACTAATAAGAGCATTTTGTTATCACTTTTATCATCAAAAATATACAAGAAGGTGGTTATTTAAGGCGTGATTATAGTTAAATTCACCTATTATCAGATAGTTATTACATATATAGTTTCATATTGTATTTTATTTATATTGTATTGTACTATATTCATTTGATTAATTAGACATTTGGATAGACTATATCGTTTTTCATTGTTTCACAATGCCACATACAAAAACTACAAAGAATACACTTATAATATTATTAAAAGGGTATGGAATAAAGTTATTATAAAGAAAGTAGGTTGAAAAAGATAGGCTAAAGGGTAAAATAAGATTATCAAAATAATAAGTAAGGGCAAGATAAAAATAATAAAATAATAATGCGATCACACCAAATCAATTATAACGTAAAGTGACAGTTTTTATTGTTACATAAAAATATATTTGACAATACTATAATATGTAACGACTATCCAAACAAGCTCTTGATATTTACATTAAACTAATAGATTTGGTATGTATCTTCTATTTACATTGTTATCGCTTGGTCACAATTAAGTAATATATATAACCTTAATTTGTACTTAATTAAGATAAATTTAAATGATTTAATGTAAATATCGAGTCTGAAAGAAAAAAAAACATAAAATTCAAGTAAGTCTTTTCGAAGTTTTAGTAGTTGATTATGCAAAAGAATATGAAAAGGAAAATGTTAAAAAAATGCTTGTAGCTAAACTTTTAAGCCTCAAAAAACGTTTCTTCTTATACTAAATGACTAGATTAAAATTATTTCATTGAAAAAGAAATCACAACTTCTTTTCTCTAAGCCAAAATAAACTTAAGACGCTGAGCAAAAACAAAGGGTAAAATGAACGGTGGAGATCTAATCGCTATTGGTTACTCCCCATAGCAAGGCGAGAAGCCCTAACTATATATACATAGCATTCACCGCTCACTTCCTCTTTCTTTGTTAACAGCTGCCCTAGGCCAAGACCAACCATTTGAAGGCATTTTCTTAGCTTCCAAATCTCTCAATGTAATCTCTTTTTTTTTTCACATCTCTTTCTTTAATTCTTCGTTTACTCTGGTTTAATCTCGTATTATATCTGAAAATCTATTGTTTTTTAACTGGATTTTATAGAGAAGAAAATGAAGGTAATCGCCGCTTTCTTGTTGGCTGTGTTGGGTGGCAACGCCTCCCCATCTGCTGCTGATTTGAAGAAAATCCTTGCTTCCGGTATTCCCTTTTTTCACCTCCCTAATCTTTTTGCCTTTAAAAAAGTAGTTAATGTGGGTGAAACTGAGATGTATTAATGTAGATTTATAATTTTTTGCTATTCATAGTTATTATTTGTTGTAATTTAGTGCATACCTATTTCATTTTCCTTTCAAGATAGCTGATAACTGTTCGATTTATGCTAAATGAAATAGTAAATGATGTAACATTTTTTAGCTCCAGTATAAAAATTTGATACTTGATTGAATTATTTTTTTACTGATTTTAATGTACACCCATTTCATTTTGTCTTCATATAGTTGATATTTGTGTTCGATGTATGCTAAAATAACAAGTGAAATGGTATCACGCTGTCACTCCAAAATGAGAATTTCCTCCTTTACTCATAGCTTCTTCTGTTTTTACTGATTTAGTGCATACCGTTTCTGACTGATGTGTTGGTTTATAGTACTGGATCCGTGCCATATGTGGTTGTATGTAATTGGTTTATTCATTGATGTGTTTTAGAGACTGGTACATGTCTAATGGAGTAATGTATTTCATTTATTATTTTTATCTTTTTGCCTGCAAAAAATATGATTCAGCTCTTGTACATGCTACTAATTGCTTTTTTGATGGTCTGGACTCTGGAAAAAGAGAGTGAAGAGTGTTTGCGGAAGCAATTAATTAATTTTATCAAGTTATTACTATTAAACTTGAGGTAGGATGCAAGTGTTTAGGCAGAGACCTGATCTCTCTTCATTTTAGCTATTACCTTTTTATTTTTATTTATGTTTTGGAAAACAATTAACTCTGTTACTTGCAAGACCTTCTGAAGCTATCCATAAGAACGGAGTACTCTATTATATTTACTTCTCTTGCATATGGGATAGCACTTCATTCATTGTATTGCTTGGGATTTTAAAACATCTCTAATTGATATGAAAATCTTCTTCTTGTTGACTTGACTACTGTACTGTCTTTGTATATTTTATGTTGGGGACTCTTGTTTTGAATTCTAATATTCAAAATTGTGCTGCAGTTGGAGCTGAGGCTGATGATGATAGGGTTGATCTCCTCTTGTCTCAAGTAGAGGGCAAGGATATCACCGAGCTGATTGCTGCTGGCAGAGAAAAATTGGCTTCAGTACCTTGCGGTGGTGGTGGTGGTGTTGCAGTCGCTGCACCTGCTGGTGGCGCTGCTGCTGCAGCACCAGCTGCCGAGGAGAAGAAAGAGGAAAAGAAGGAAGAGAAAGAGGAATCTGATGATGTAAGATACTCTCTCAATCTAGGAGCCTTGGCTTCTTTCTGCACTGGACAATGTTTACTCCTAAATATCTTGTATATCCGCTAACATGGTTGTCTTGTTTTAATATTGCAGGACATGGGTTTCAGTCTCTTCGATTGAGGAATACAGCGTTGGCCTCTGTATGAAATGACCTGTTCCCAGTTCCCCTGAGTTTATTCTAGGACTCTTTTTGTCAACTTTATTCTAGTTTAGCTGAAGGTACCTAAATTTTGCGAGGCAATTTGAAATTACAATATTGTTGGATTTGTTTGCACCCTTTAGCTTGATGTATTTGTTGCCTGTTTAAGTCATTACAACTTCCAATTCTATATCCATTATAGGAAGTTCTCGTGCAAATGTTTAATTAGTTGACAATCAGGCTACAGCTTACAAGGACTAGGGAATAGGGGTGTTCATGGTTCAGTTTGGATCGATTTTTCCTTTAAAAGAAATCAAACCAAGTAAATTGGTTTTTCAAATATTATAACCAAACCAATTAAGTCGGTTTTTTTTCGATTCGGTTTATGTCGGGTTTTGTCGGTTTTTCGGTTATTTGTCGGTTTTTTTTTAAATATAAGATATACACTACCAAACATATATTCCGGCGATCACATTTTCAACGTAACACTATCACATCAATTGTCATTTGGGAAATCTATTATTTACCAAGATATATTGATGATAATTGAATCAAAAAGTAATTTAAGGACTCAATTAAAAATATATTATTTTTAACACGAAATAGATTGTTACACTAAACAAAAGAAAACTACCAATCAAACTAGAATGTAAAGGTAAAGACCTGCACTAAAAGTGCAAACTAACATTTACTATTAAATTTTTGAAATTTTGTATAAAAATATACATATATGTAGGTGTAATAATAAATTTAAAATAGCTACTCGTATAGTCGGTTTGATTTGGTTTTTTTTGATTTTTTTCTGATTAAAAACCAAAACCAAACCAAATTTGATCGGTTTTTAAAATTCAAAACCAAAACCAAACCAGACCAAAAATTATCGATTTTTTGGGTCGGTTTGGTTCGATTTTTCGGATTTTTATGAACACCAGTAGGGAAAGCGAATTTTATTCTGGGTATTTACTGCTTTCGAATTAGTGCATAGCAGGAGTAGGACATTACGAGTTATCATCTGGCTATAAATTGTATTCGTCTTTGATGTCAGAGCTCTTATGGTTGTGTTTAAAAGAAAATAGTTATCCTCCAATATTATTCAATAAAATTGGGTTGTATAATGAACTTTTTAAAAATGGGTCTAATATGGATAAGAGCGATATTATCCCCTTAGGAAATATATAACCGATGGATAAGTAATAGGTTTAATTTTTATATTTGTAAAGTCTCAGATTGGGATTCCTTAAGTTTGGAATTCTCTCAAAAGTGATCATATTAAGAAGCCATGGATAATATGAATATTTATATTATTGGTTGGGTAACAAGTTTTTTATCCGCATTAAATATGGGTTGGGTTGGGTAATTTGTTTGTTTTTTTTGAATTATTTATTTTTTTGCACATATCCGATCCAACCCGCCCGTTTGCCGCCCCTAGACACCGCAAAAGGATTTCTACAGTTTTAGCTTAGGTTAATTTACAACACAACACTAAATAATGCAAAATCTGATATGGTATCGTTGAAAATTGTCTAATAACCTAGTATAATTAATTACATTACATTGGGTGAAACTTTTTGTCACATTTTTAGTAACATGAGATTCATAGGAAATCCATGCGAACGAGGAAGTAAAACGGACAGCTTTAGCTAGGTGTAGGAATTTTCCGGTTTGTAGATGTTAGGTCTCGTGAGTCATGAGTTGTCAGTCATGAGCCTTGCGTCACATTTGCCTACAACCTTGAGCAGACAAAACCTCTATAGGCATAATGCTCACAATTTGATGGAGTCAAAATATCAATATGCCTTAGATGTGATCTGTGTGTTTGATGTTTAGATGTTAACACGAGATCCATTTTGGCAAAGTTATGACGTACACGTTTCAGCTTTCAAAGTTCAAATCTGATCGAATTGGAAACAGTTAGTGGAACTATAAAAAGTAAAGTCTGCAAGAAGATAGAAGTGACTTCACCTCTTAAACTTTTGATCACATGATACAGCAGTTTTTTTTATACAGCAGGAAAGAATTAAATAAACTTACACAGCTACAATCAAAATTTTTGCGATGACTCATCAAAAGGGTCTATAAATGGACGTAAGAATGTACCCAAGTTCACAAGGTTTGATGAACACATTAATGGTGATAAACTTTCCCTAAAAGAAGAACAAAAAATCTCAAAAGGCAAAAAGTGGATGGTATAATAAATTTGAGAAGAATACCACAAGTCAAAAATCATAAAGACTACATGTCAGATCAGGGTCCAACGAGGACTACCAATAGATTCCACCATAAGTCGTTTTAACCCATCCAATGATCCAGAATTAGTTGTATACCTTCCATGATGGAGCACAGCCGCAACAAAAACCCATTTAAGACTTTGGAACAGTCACATTTAATATTTTTACGTCCTGGTATGGTTTGTCATTTTTGTCGGTCTTCACTTTCTCTATTGACTGTCATAATCCAAAAGGAAAAAAAGAAATCCCGAATGAGCTCCCAAAAAGTAGTCATACACTAAATACCACATAATACACACTGCAACAATCATCATTTAAATTGGAACCACAGCATATTCACAAACTTTCTGGTAAATAACTAGAAATACAGCTAAACAGAGTCGAAGATCTGAGTCAGGTCTAATATTCATTCAGTAATCAATCCATAGCAGACTGGGAGGAATTAGAAGCCAATACCTGTACAACGTCCATTCCTTTTACTACTCTGCCAAAAACTGTGTGCTTATTGTCCAACCACGGAGTGGCAACAGTTGTTATGAAGAATTGAGAGCCATTGGTGTTTGCCCCAGCATTAGCCATCGAGACAGTGAAGGGTCTATCATGTCGCAGGCTGCACAGACCAATATAATTGTTCAGATTAACTTCACCTATTGAAGCATAAACTGGAAAATGTGTTATCAGCTGTATGTCGGAGAAGTTAAATTCAAATGAGGTGGTGCTAGCTGTTATTTCAGGCAATAACTAAGCTGTCCACTTCCTAGAACCTAGAAAGAAAACTTTTCCAAGAATCAACAAAGGAAGCACAAACAATCTCCAGAGTTGAGCAAGGAAGAAAACTACGCCAAATGTTAAATATACAAGAGTATTATGCTCTGCTCCCAAAGATAAACTTGGTGGCTCCATGAATGGAGTACAGGCTTCTCAATAAACTTGATTAGTTGCTTTCATAATCATAACAATTTGAATTGTATGTTAAAATCAAAAGCTAAGAAATGAAAAGATCCTTCTCTTTGGTTGGGGGTGGGTGGGTGGGGTGGGGGGATGGGATTGCTGGGTCTTTTAATAGTTAAATTCATGAAAGTTCCTCCACTGTTGCCAGGCAGAATAACAATACAATTACTTGCAACTGAAAATTTCAAAATCCAAATACTGATGAAATCATGGTCAACAGTCAATTAAAGCAGGAAAGCAAAACCGACTTCGGTTTTGGCCATGTATCAACCCTAGTTTAAAAACTATGTATTGGCAATCTTCTATTGCATTATCTGCTACAAAAGCAGCAGCAATTGAAAGAACAAGAATAAAGTACACAGTACTGTTACTATGGATCCATTTACTCCACAAAATGGGTACTTCCATTCTCCTACCATTTTCATTGGGGTTCTTATGCACACATTGATTGGTGGAGATCACTTAAAACCGGCTGATTCTCAAAGCAATGACATGTGGTCGACTAAACCTAATACATTTTACACCCGAATGGAAAAAATGTTCTATCATGCAGGCCTTTAAACTTCCTGTTCTCGCATCCCACCCATGTTCATTATTCCAAAGCTGCATAAGCATCATCATCAAAAGTATTGCCCCTCTAACATGACATATCAAGAAAGTACAGAGTCGAGGAAATAAAGTAAGAACCAAAAATTAAAGCATGTCCTATAATGTAATTATGTATAAGATCTGCAAATACAGAACATACCTTTTATGGAATTCATCTTCAAACTCCCTTCCCCAAATAGATTGGCCACCTGTGCCATCTCCTAATGGATCTCCTGTCTGAACCATAAAGCCTCTGATGACCCGATGAAATATCAAATTGTCATAGTATCCGTTCCTGCAGTGTGTTGTAAAGTTCTCCACTGTTTTTGGACACTCTTCAGGGTATAGCTTCATGTGAATGTCACCCATACTGGTATGCAGGACCTAGGTCAGAGTAAAAGAAACAATCAGCAAAATTTGAGTCCATTTTTTTAGGATAAGCACAGAGAAAAAACGAACGGCCTCTAAGTGTAGTGGTATTGAAAAAACTATTATCTTTTAAGGTATACCACAAATAATGCAGAAACAAGAGCTGTTATTCTTTAGTGAAAGACTGCCAAGAGCACAAACAGGCTTTGCCCATCTCATTTCCTTTTTTATGAAGACCATTCTCAACTTAGCAGCTTCGCAACATGCTATCCTTTCAACTCATTCATTAATTGATCAGAAATCAGAAAACAGAAGTAGAAGAAAGTAAATCCATTATTCAAGATCCATTCACATGGTTTCTATGCAGTGCAGCACAAAAGAAATCTTACTTAAAACCTCCTCCTCAAAAAAAGAAAAAGCAACGCAATTTGAAATAGTATCAAAAGTAAGTACTAAATAATTTCTTTTTTCCTTTACTTGTTGATGTAAAATCATCTTCCATTCAATAGANCAAGTGGTCATGCTAGAGACATAAACAGTCATGGATAATTAAATTATGAGATCCTTCCGAATGAGCTAAGAGAATCTTATTTATTCTCTTTCGTTTTCTTAATTGAAGAAATAATTGGAAAATAAAACAGCAAGTACAAAAATGAGTAATAACCCCCAGTAGAGACTGGTACGATTCAATTCAACATTTTGTTCGTTCGGGTTTGATTGTGTCGTAGCTCTATAATTCGGATTAAGTTTATCGTTGGATGAACTGCATTGCTGATATTGATCCCAAAAAAAAGACGGTAGGTACAGCTAGGCCGTGAACAGCCAACCATCGTACTGTAAAAATTGGATAGGTTCGATCTATAGTCATTAGGGCCTCCTAAAACGATCTACTAAATTCATCGAGTTGTTCCAAAGGATCAAAACGGCCAGTTATTAATGGAATTCCTTGTCGGCTCTCTGTAAAATACTCGTTTGGCCGAGGGCTTCCAAACACATCGTAAGCTAAACCGGTGCTGACAAATAACCAACCCGCAATGAATAGGGAAGGTATAGTAATGCTATGAATGACCCAGTATCGAATACTGGTAATAATATCAGCAAACGAACGTTCTCCTGTGCTTCCAGACATGCTGAGCTCCACATATTCTTGTACAGTCAAAGAAGATCGATTCCGTAAAAGATGAGATCAGTAAATGACAATTCACTGAAATTTCATCTTTGTGAGATCGTCAATATTGTACCGAGGGCGTCTTTAGAGTATACCGAATCAGTATAGCTATCCTTCTTCTGACACAGCAACGCAATTTGAAATAGTATCAAAAGTAAGTACTAAATAATTTCTTTTTTCCTTTACTTGTTGATGTAAAATCATCTTCCATTCAATAGAAAATTCTTTCAATTCAACGAAAGAGATTCTCATATTCACACAATTTAAGTAGATGCGAGATATAGAAATTTGCTTTTCGTAGTTGTGGAAGCAGTTTTGTTGTTGGAATCCTTTTTTTAAAGAAGAAGTTAATGGTCGAGTAAGAAATAAGAGTAGTAGATCATATTCGATGAAAGAAAAAATCGAATAATTGGAATCCATAGTTGTGATGCATTGTTGTGGATCTCGATCCAAAGGTTCTTTCTTGATCTAGCTACAAGGATGGGGCAGTAGGGAAAGATAAAATGTGGAACCTAATAGAAATTACTAGTTTTAGAATCTAGTTGGACAAAAAAAAAAAGATTTTTTCAAGCGCACTTAAAACATTTCCACAAACAATACCAATCATTGTAGCTCATAAAGAGTTCTGTTCCCATGAACTCATGGAAAAGGATATCCACCTTAAACCTATCCGGAATTTTCTATTTATCTGATAAATGCAAATAAAACTATAACTCACCACATTATCTGGAAGGGATGTAGTGACAGACTTCCCTATGTCAGATACAGCCAAAAGTTCATCGGCAGATGGCTTTTCATTAAAGACATCTCTTCCCTTAGTAGGATCATCAGGTTCCTCAGGTTCTCTCTGACTGTTATAGAGCAAGTCATGAGCTGTCGTGAAGAATAAGTATAAACAAAGAAATCTGGTTTTCATAAAGGATGAGATGAAAAGATTGCCTATTTTTATCATTTTTATGGAAGTATCGAACATCAAACTAAATCATCCAGGAGTGAAGAGTACAGCAGGCAACTGTGCTTTCAAACTTTCTCATTAGTCGTGATTGTTTTCAAACTGCTTTAAATCCTAATTCTAATAGAAAAATCAATATTTAAGCATCTATCAGAATGATTCCTACTGTGTGTGAATCTTACAGAGATAGCCAACATAAAATACATGGACTACTTTGGATAAAACCGTTAACATGTTTCCTTTAGCATAGCACTAAAGTCTAGAGTGAGCAGGTTAGTGCAGTGGAGAAAGTCCAGGTTCAACATACAATTAACAGTGATTGAAAAGCAACAAAGTTCAAGATCAATCTACTCACTCTCTGTACTACACATATACCTGAACAAATAGATTCTATGTTTCTTGAAAGCACAGCAAAGTAGAGTCGGATCTATCAGGGGCTCCTTGCTTTCATTGGCATTTGCTGCAGCAGCAGGAATTTTTCTTACCTTTTTACTACTTCTATCACCTTGGTACAAGGCAATCCTCAAAAACCTGTCATTGCTCTCTACCTTCCCCAGGATACGAGATACCTTGTTCGTATGTAGATTTACAACCTGACAATACAAAGAAAAAATAACCCAAAATCAGAAATGAAAGTCGAAGAAGCATGAAGCTTATTCATAACTCCGGTATGGTATAAGTACCAAGACTGCAATATAACTGTCTTGACAGTCTAATGGACATTTTCTTACTTTAATTCCTAGGAGAGTTGCATATATAATGAAGTTGGAACTTTCATCAAAAACAGCATTAGGTTGTGGTGCATATTCTGTTTTCTCAATTTCTTTTTCCACAGCCATTCGTCGCCCAAAATCAATAGCTTCAAGCCGGTATAAAGGAACATCACTCCTCTGGAGATCTTGTGCCACCTAAAGAGATGGATTTTTTTTGTATTAACACCCAAAAGAAAAAGAAAAAGAAAAAGAAACATGTGTATGTACGCATAAGGAGTAATCTCTTACCTCCAGAGATTCATCATACACACGTCTTAGTTTACCTGTCCTGAACCAAAATATACGAATCCTACGATCTGGTGAAGTTACAGAAAACTGTTTACCATCAGGGCTTACCTAGAAATAAAGAAGAGAAAAGGGTAAGACTTTTACAAGACTATCTACTGACTGCTTAGACTGAAAAATCTGAAACTGCTTAGCTAACTTGAGATGTGTATAGCAGAAGAAACTTTTTCAATTCAAGTTATAAGGTCAGAAGTACACATAATTTCCAGCAAAAGGTTTTACTGTAATACCTCTATAGAAGAAACAGCAGTTTTGCATTTCACAATTTCAAAGAGATTAGTATCACTCTTCAATCTAAAGTTCACCCTGCAGGCAGAACATAAGAAGATAAGTATAAGAGGTGACTGTTGCAATTAGGAGCAAGAGACAGCCTCTTGCATATGGCAAAGAAAGTGTGAAAAACTATATATTAAATAATCTATAGTATTTTCTTAGATAGTGTAAAACCAAAAATAAATGGTTGATTTCTCACTACTACTCTATGGAAGTGAATAAATGCTAAAACCACAACGGAAAATCTACGGTGCGGAAATGATCTACTAATAAAGGTCATATAGGATCTATTTCACAAGGCTCTATGTTTAAAATTTGAAAATTGATACACTCCCCCCACCCACCCCCACCGCCCTAAAAGAAACAGAAAACGCAATCTAACAAAAAGGAAAGATGAGTTCTTGGATCACGTAAATAGTGATGTAATACCATTTCTTCAAAATGGATCACTCTAAAACTCGTTTTGGGGCTTTTGAGCTCCCTGAAGTCAATGCGACTTATTGTCCCCTAAAAAGGACCATATACAAGGTAAGTTACTTTAAGAAGTTGAAAACATACACATTCTCTGGGAACTGAAGAGTGGCAGGACTCCAGTACTCAATGATCCCTTTGTCATCTGCTGATATCACAGTATCAAAGACATGATTGTATTTCATGACCTTGATGGGGCACAAATGTATCTGATGACAAGGACAACAAAAAGGATAAGAGATTTGGTCATGTGAGTGCTGGTAGAAACTTCATACTAACATGACATTAAAACTGCACAGAAGTCATGTGAACCTTTACTTTTGAGATGGTTTACTGGACATACCTCTTTAGTTATGATAGGTTCATTTGTACTAGCTCTTGCGTCATATATATGCACAACAGAGGAGTTCCGATCACTAACAGCAAGCTTAGCTTTGACATCCCCTAACTTATATACCCATTCAACGCAACCAGGTATGAATGGAAGTCGTATCATGGACATCATGTCGAAATTCACTACGTCATATATTTTCAGAGACTTGTCACTTGAGATCGTACAGCAAAGCATACCATCAGCACTAACCTGCAATGGAATTTAGGTAAACTAATGTAATGCTCTGATCATAATGCTGATAATAAACAGGAGCAGAATGTACTTCTGCCAGAGAGTCTATTGCTACTTACTGCAAGGCCTTCAATTGGTCCAAGATGAGATCTAAAATGTTTTGCAAACTCGATACCAATAGGCTTTTTCTTCCAAAATTTCAGGTGGCCTGGACAATAAGGAGGAGAACATTTGGTAAATTATGCAAACATCAAGAAATGAAAAAATCTCGGTGCGAATGTCCTGCCTTACCATCAGCACTCCCGCTGATGAAAAAATCTGCTCCTGACACAGAAACATGAGTGACTACATCTCGGTGCATGTAACTTTTTTCATACCTGCATTGCATATTACATGGTTTAGCACTCTATATTTGATATGATCATGTAAACTGAGAAAAAAGGAGAGACAACTTTTATTGAATTGGTAATGAACAAGGTACAAGAGCATTCATGAGAGCTTAGGCTAGATGAAATAATGAAATGTTTTCTAAATACTGGAATTCCTAGTTATGGCACAACCATGAAGAATATAAAGTGAACCTACATTTAAACAAAGACACATCCTTACATTTACATGAAGCTGGAGTAAATAGATCATATGCACCCAAGCTTACAATATATACACCTGATTCTTGGACTCATAAGTGAAAATAATGGAATAGAGTCCAAAGAGTCCAAAATTGAATAAAAAAATAATAATAACAAAATTCATCAGATGATCTGGACGTGGAAGTGGTCAGCGGTGACTGGCAAATGAAGTTAGTTTGATGATTGGTTGTGTTATGTACTGTTAACTGGACAAAATGTTAACAAAATGTTAACTTGACATGTCAGTTGACAGCAACTACATTTTTTTATAAGGTTTATAATTTGATTAACATTAAAAGCATCTCCAGTATACAAGTTGTATATTAACAACAACAACAACAACAACAACAACCACCCAGTGTAATCCCACAAGTGGGGTCTGGTGAGGGTAGGATGTACGCAGCCTTACCCCTACACTGGAAGGGCAGAGAGACTGTTTCCGATAGATCCTCGGCTAAAGAAGGTGAAAGAAGCCCGATAGCAAGTAATAGCAAGACAAATAATTAGAAAACTAAATCGAAGATAGCAACAGAGAATATGAAAGAGGTACCGATAACAAGTAATAGCAAGATAATATATTTAGAAAATTAAATCCAAGGCAGCAAACGAGAATATGTATATTAAAAAGTAGAGAATCCACAACATAATATGATTCTTCATAAACAATACTCAGTCTTTTGGAACTTCATAGGTGCGCACCAAAATGAAACTACCAATGAGAGGCTACTCCTCAAATGTAGATAGTAGTTATCTATCCCTTCGAAAACTCTCCTATTTCCTCCCTTCCACAAGACCCACATAGGTGCTAGTGGGGCAACATCCGGGCTCTTCGAAACTTCCTTCTTGTTCTGGCTGATCTGGCATCAGCAATTACATCCAGAACCATCTCAAAACTCACACCACAAGCGAGTTCCCAGCATACTATGCAGGGAGAGGAACATCTTAACCTGAATATTTACACATGAAGCACCAGCTAACTTATGTAATCTGCCTTTCTCTCACGTTCTCGGTCGTCCAAATTGCTTCCTTCGCTGCCAACCAAGTAAAGAGAAAACTTCTCTTGGTGCACTAGGAATCCAAACCAATAGATCTGGAAAACCCAACTCCTCCCTTACCAAGAGCTTATGCTGATGATATGACTTCACTAAAAGTATCCCCCCCTAAAAAAAAACCAAATAAGTCCGAACTAGCATAAGATGAGCTCTGCTTGTAAATCATTTCAACCAAATCTTGGAATTCAGCTTCCAGGGACTATTGACTGGACGTAGCGCTACACCCTGAATAATCACCAGGCACCCAATGTGGAGAACTGTTCAGCCAACGCAGCACGTTAGAGGGTTTAGAGAGGGGAATTTCGGCCATCAATCAGCGCAAGGGCGCTGAAGCTAGCAACTTCACACTCTTGTGCGCATGCTGTTATGACTTATGCCATTTTGCAACTTTTTAATATTTTCAAGTTAGGTGGACCTTAGCAGTGAACTTTGATGAATTGAGATTACTCTCTTGTGAGTTTTTAGGGAAGAACCATATGTTCTTCAGTGAAATTCCAAGGATTGCCATTCAAGTTGAGTAGTCTTTATGGTAATTCAACTATCCTTTTAGTTGATTTGGAATTATACTTTAATTTCAATTTTGAAGTCTTAGGTTTCAAATACCCATGGTGGTTTGTTGAATGTAAAGTATAGGTTCCATATTCCTTTGTTAATTTCTTGTATTTTACCTTTGATTTTTTGGGAATATATTTGAGGTTCAAAGGTTAAATATACCTTCGGTTGCTTGTAAGTTCCCTTTTTATTTGATATCTCTTTGATTTTCGTGTCTATAATCTTTCTTTTTTTCCACTCATATCTCTATCCTCGTCTTCGGCTCTATCAGATCTGCTATAATTAAAGATGACAATTTTTGATTGATAAATGCTGACCTCTCTAAACAACAGCATCGCATTGAAAATACAACGGAAATAAGAACACATTTTTGTCCCAGCTAATTAGCAAGAAATTTGCTATCATATGCTCAATACCGGAAACCTATATAAACTTGAATTAGCCAAATTAGAACAATGCCACCATTAAGCAGTTCAGAGAGGTCTTAAGATTACAAATTGTAACAACTTTAAAAGCCCGAATCTGAAAACTCCCAACAGAACAGTCTCTCTCCATCAACAAGTGTCCACAATACTAAGCACCCAGAGCACTTGGAGTTGTTTGGGTGACCGCACAAGAAAAACTAATCCGGACATAAAATTCTCAATTACTAATATGCATAAATCTTTACATTACTAATTTAATCTCTCAATACTAATACAACATTCACACTCAAGGGCGTGACTTAGCGGTTCATGCAGTGGTAGCAAACCTTGAAAACTAGGCTTCAGGTCCAAGCCGAGGCAAAAATACTAGGTTTAGCTTCCCATCTGCCTAAGCTTTGATGGAGAAGTACCAGTACTATTGAGCGCAAGCTGGTGCGGCCACCACCATGATCCCAAAAATTAACTAATACACCATTTGATTTTCGGTACACAATAATGCATAACTAATGCATTGTGTGGTTTACAATATTGAACTCCATTGCCAATACAGACATAACTTATGTTGAAAAAAATATGAAATAAGAATCATGTATTAGAAAATACTGAAAAATAAACCCTAAACACTTAAAACAAACCCAAAATATACTAGTGCAATTTAAACATCTCTATATTTAATAGTACTACTTACAAGTTAGCTGAAGGAAGGGAATCGAGATAGGCTTGCTCAAACTGGAGAGGACGTTTTTTACTAACATGAGGAGCTGGACCCGGTCCAATAACCGGCTCGTCTTCCGTCTCCTCCACCGCCGTTACTGCCGTCGACGGCGGGTTTCCTTTCTCGTTCTGAGCTGCTTCCTCCATCAATCTCCTTTACAATAGCTTCTGCTTTTCTAGGGTTTTGAGCTCACTTCGATTTTGTTGCGGAAAATCTTGAAGGAGAGTTGGAAAATTTTGCAGTTTGAAAGGTGCTGAGCTTATAGATGCCGATTGAAGTGAGTCCCCGGCCAATTTGACTCAGAAATCGGGTCTTTTTTAAACCGAGTTGAAGCTATAGGGTTCGTAATCCGGATCCTTTTCTGAGTGAAAATGTAAAATCATGTTTTAGTCCACATGATTTATTATTTTTCGCCAGATCAGTCCACATGTTTTAACTATGAACAGTTTTGTCTCAAAACTTTTTTTGAGAAGAGCTTTTATTCTTTTTTTTCTTCTTTTTTAACAGTTTGTGGTATTTACCCTAAAAACTGGATAACAATTAAACTTATAATGTGGTTTTAAGGATACGTGATCAAACATAATACCAATTGATAAATATAAAGATTAGTAATGGAAATTGACAATAAAATAAAGCAAACCAGTCTTTGAACAGAATTCAGCCCTCAAGCTTGAATACCGTCGAACTAGTCTGTGCAAGAACAGTTAAAATATAGCAAACTGATGAACAAGAGAGTGTGAACTAAAGAGAGAATATTGTATTGCTTTGATATGCGTGAATGTGAAGTGTCTACTAAATGATTATAACCCTCTTTATATAGCAGAGGAATCCTATCTATGGTACAATTCTAATTACGGAAGTAAATCCCATGATTAACCTAAACAATCGCCCTTGATTTGATTTGTTCCGGGATTTCCGCTGTGATCTTCGATGGGTTACGGATATCTCGCTTTTCGGTTATTGCGCTTTGCTCGAAGTCTGTCATATTTGGTCTCGATTGTTGTTGGCCTCGATCTTGACAAGCACCTCGATTCTCAAACTCGATACCTTGTCTTCGTGCTCTGGTTTAATCCATTACGAGGCTGACCCTCGATGTAATTCCCTGGTCTCGGTTAAATAGTAAAATCGGGCAGGTTCGGTTTCAACCGTATAGATTACGAAGAGTTCGGGCTGACCCACTGATTTTGACGGCCCATTTAGCCAACCGACCCAAGAGTTCGGGCTTGTGCAGAACATTAAGAAGAGTGTAAGTGGTCACCATACAAATTGGGTGACACTGAAAATATGATTTTAATTTCCTAGAGAGGTTTATTAGAGCAAGCGCTAATTTCTCTAAGTGTGGGTACCGGGTCTCGGCTTCACCTAAGGTTCGACTAACATAGTAAACAGGAAATTGCGTACCTTGCTCTTCTTGAACTAGGACACCACTTACCGCAACTTTCGATACTGCCAAATATAAGTAGAGTTGCTCATCTGCTTTCAGAGTATGAAGCAATGGTGGGCTCGAAAGATACTGCTTTAACTCTTCCAACGCCTGTTGGCATCCCGGGCTCCAAGCGACATTGTTCTTCTTTTTGAGCAGCGAGAAGAACCTGTGACTTCGATCTGAAGACCTCGAGATGAACCGGCCTAAGGCGGCTATCCGCCCTGTTAATCTTTGTACGACCTTAACGCTGTCCACGACTGTGATGTCTTCGATTGCCTTGATTTTATCGGGGTTGACCTCGATTCCCCGATTTGACACCATAAAGCCGAGGAACTTTCCCGAACCGACCCTGAATGCACATTTATCAGGATTGAGCTTCATGTTGTATTTTCTCAATATGTTGAAGGTTTCCTGCAAATATGTTAAATGGTCCTCTGCGCGCAAGGACTTAACTAGCATATCGTCAATATATACCTCCATTGATTTACCTATTTGTTCTTCAAACATCTGATTCACTAGGCGTTGGTAAGTAACACCAGCATTTTTAGCCCAAACGACATTACATTATAATAGTAGGTGCCATACTTAGTGATGAATGAAGTCTTTTCCTGATCCTCCGGGTTCATTTAAATTTGATTGCATCCGGAATAAGCATCGAGAAAACTAAGGTTCTCGTGGTTGGCCGTGGCATCGATCATACGATCGATATTCAGCAGAGGAAAAGAGTCTTTGGGACATGCTTTGTTTAAATCTTTATAATCTACGCACATTCTAAGTTTGTTCCCCTTTTCAGGGACTACAACTACGTTTGCTAACCATTCAGGATATTTTACTTCCTGAATGGATCCTATTTTGAGAAGTTTGGTTACCTCGTCCTTGATGAATGCATGTTTACCTCCCTGGGCCCTTCTCTTTTGTTTTACCGGTCTGAACTTCGAGTCCATGCTCAATCGATGTGTTGTGATCTTCGGTGGGATCCCTTTCACATCTAGGTGGGACCAAGCAAAATAATCCATGTTATTTAAAAGGAATTGAACGAGTTTTTTCATGAGCTCAGGAGTTAACCCCGTGCCCAAGTATACCTTTCCATCAGGAAGATGCTCGATCAGTATGAGTTGTTCCAGCTCCTCGACCGTCAACTTCGTTGTATCAGAATCGTCGGGGGTTATGAAGGTTCGAGGTATCATATAATCTTCATCCTCGAAGATCTCATGCTCCTCCGATAGGGTCGAGGCAGGTGTCTGTGGTTGCTATTTGACTTATTGTTTTCCATTTGACTCCGATCCCTTTGTTGACGAAAGCGCTGATACCGGTATCACTTCGTCGATTGCAAACATTTCTTTGGCGGCGGGTTGTTCACCGTACACCATTTTGACTCTTTCCGAAGTAGGGAACTTTAGAACTTGATGAAGTGTCGAAAGTACTACTCTCATATTATGTATCCAAGGCCTTTCGAGCAGTGCATTGTATCTCATGTCATCCTCGATCACATGGAATTTTGTATCTTGGATGGTCCTGGTTACATTCGCTAGCAAAATAATCTCTCCTTTGGTGGTCTCACTCGCCATATTGAAACCGTTAAGTACCCGAATTGCGGGCACGATCTGATCTTGGAGGCCAAGTTGCTCTATGACCCTTGATCGAATAATATTTGCTGAGCTACTTGGATCAATCAACACACGTTTAACTTGAATTTTATTCATAAGGATAGATATTACCAGTGCACCATTGTGAGGTTATTCGATCCCCTTTGCGTCCTCGTCGTTGAAAGATAAGGTTTCTTCTGGTAAGTAGTCCCGAGTTAGCTTTTCCCTCGTGATCGTCACCTTGGTGTGTTTGAAAACTGGTCCTTGAGGGATATCAACCCCACCAACGATCATATGAATTACGTGTTATGGCTCTTCCTGTTCGAATCTCTATTTTTGAAGTGATTCTTGGCCCGATCGCTTAAGAATTCTCGAAGGTGACCCTCGTTGAACAAACGAGCTACCTCTTCTCTCAGTTGTCTGTAGTCTTGAGTTCTATGACCATGGGTACCATGGTATTTGCACATTTGATTTGGGTTCCTTTGAGCTGGACGGTCTGTAAGGGTCTGGGCCATCTAGTATCCTTAATCTGACCGATGGCTGATACAATACCTGATGCATCGACGCAGAAGTTGTATTTTGATAGTCGAGGTGCTTCCTTGGACCCGGCGTCCCTATCGAAACCGCTTTTGCTCATAAGCCCCCGTGAACTCTGTCCCTGATCGTTCCTTCTATCATTCCGTACGGGGTAGCATCCGAGCCCGTTATTTCTCTGATCTCCACTCTATGGATGGTACCTATCTCTATTCGATCGTGGTTCCCGATCGACGTCCCTTTTAACTCTGTCCACAGACCTGTTGGGATAAATCGAACCAACTGGAGTTCCCAGCTGATCATCTTCGACCCTAATCTTTGATTGATACCGATTGTGTACATCTGCCCAAGTGACAGCTGGATATTCGATCAAATTTTGCTTTAATTATTGTGAAGCTATGGAACTCCGAGTGTTGAGACCTTGTGTAGAAGCTTGAACAGCCCAGTCATCGGTGATTGGAGGTAAATCCATTCGCACCGTTTGGAACTGAGATACGAATTCCCTGAGCATCGCGGTATCCTGTTGTCTTACTTTGAAGAGGTCCGATTTCCTTGTTGCAACCTTAGTGGCTCCGGCGTGGGCCTTCACAAAAGAATATGCGAGCATAACAAACGAATCCATAGAGTTAGGTGGTAAGTTATGATACCATATCATGGCACCCTTCGATAAAGTTTCTCCAAATTTCTTCAATAGAACGTATTCAATCTCATCATCTTCTAAGTCATTTTCCTTAATTCCTCATGTCTAAGCCTATTGTATTTGGGGATGTCTGGAATACGGAATTTCTTAGGAATGGGCTTTGGAGCCGCACTTTGAGGAAAAGACTTCTGCACGAACTTCTTCGAATACAAACCCTTTAGGATCGAGGGTGCCCCCGGTATTTGGTCAACCCGTGAGTTGTATGTTTCTACCTTTTTGTCATTAGCCTCGATTTTCTTTTCACCTGATTCGATCCGTTTAGTGAGCTCTTCAAGCATCTTCATAATGGCGGGGTCAGTTAGCATTCGATTTCTCCGGTATAGGCTCAACTCTATGAACAACCTCTTGTGATGTTTCGAGCTCAATTCTGCTTGGTGCTCGATTTTGATTTTGGAGTTGTGCT